AGTTCCTGGCATGGGTTCTGTCTCACCCCTGCAGAAGACCCAGCTGGCTGTATGCTGCCCTCCCATCAAGCTCACGCCTGCTGCATTCCACATGACTGGACTTGTCCTCCAGGACCCAGAGAACATGCTCCTATACAGTGAGTGTCAGTGCCAGCATGTCTCACTGAATCACATGAACTGACGGTTGTCTTTCTATGCATGTAGCACAAACTGCAGAAGTAGAAGCTCTAAATCTGCAAGAGAAAGAGGGTTGCTTTGACAGTTGTGCAGTGCAATAAATATCAAATGTTCTTATGTCATCCTATTTTTTCCCTGGTTTCTCTGGGTGAGCTCTTTTCATTATCTCCCCATTCCATTTTGAGGGGGCGACTTCTAAAAATGTCAGCTAAAGAATATGCTGTGTACAGCCTGTCAGCTATCACTTTTGCCCTCTCATTTGATTCTCTGTTGCCTCTGTCCCAGCCCTCCAGCCTAGATAAAAAGGAACCTCTTCTAAGGTGTTTTGCGAGGCATTATGAAACGGTTGCCATGGATACCCAGTCTGAACAGGCTCCACATACAGGCAGCAGAATAGAAAATGACAGATGCAATATTTCACATTTCAGAAATTCCTCTTTCTCTCGTCAGCACACAGGCTGATGGACTGTTGTGTTAAAAATGCCAAAGATCAAGACCCTAAAAATAGGTCTGCCGGGCGATGTTGTGGTCCTCATTTGAGGCGCTGCTTGCTTCGTGTTCCACAGTGACTTGAATGGTGTTTTCCGCCTCATTTTGGTTTTTGTTGTTTCTCCCTGAAGAGATGACCTATATTATCTAAGATGGGAGATCAAAGAAGGCTTCCTCACTGATCTTATGAAGCTCGCGTCTTCCAAGCCCCGAGAATTAGTCCAGATTGCGCAACAGCCTCGCTCCCCTGCAAAATGTGGCCATGAAGGCAAACACTGCATGGAAAAACAGCTTCTTTTGTAGTTGTTCAGCCTACAGGGTTCATGATCCTGCAGTTTAGGAATTGCACAGCTTTTTGATGTTCAGGATTGTAATTACTGCCTTTTCTTTAGGTAATGCATACTCGGCACAATTCTGTTTTGTTGCCCAACTGATAATCATATTCAGAGAAAGTTGTGCATAAACTAGGGCTCAATATATGCATTTACTTTTTGAAAAACTTTGGTACAACTCAGTTCAATCTTAAAAGTTGTCCGAGTTTTGTATCTGGGTCTGTTTTATCTTGCAAAAGACACTGGGTCCATATTTTACCCATGAATTCCCATTAGTGTTACAAGCTGATGATATGTGAGCTAATATTGGCCTCTATCCGAGTCCTGGGTCCTTGCTCGCCTATTAATCAGCCATTTACACTATGTGGAAATGAAACAGGGCCACCAGTGGGAACCAGCTACCTGCTGGGAGCAAGCATTCACCTGCTGCTCTCTATTCACACCCTCTCCTGATACTTCCTCATCAATTTATTGGTCTCTCTTCCTGCGATGACTGGGCGTCTTGCTCCATTTCCAGCGTGCTGCATGATGTCAGTGACGCATGGCTGCTGAACATAGAACCGGACGGACCCGAAATGCCCATATGTCTCCATGACCTGTATCAGTCTTAGCGCTGTCATGCATCTCATTAGCCACAACCACAATCTGCACATGGACCCAAATGGTCATTCATCAAATGGAGGTCTTCTCCCAACAGCACCTGAGTAGTGGTGCCGAAGATGCTTACTCTGGGAAACTTTGGTGTGATTTATGAGGAGGCCCAACATTCCCATGTTGTGGAAGATAATGAACATAGTGGCTCTATGGGCCAAGAGATTGATGCGTCTGGAGTTAAGCTTTCATTGCAATGGGTTTTGGTAAAGAGTAGAAATTCAGCTTTTTGACCCTGTTTATATACCTGCAGCAATTGGGGAGCTTGGTGGATTCATTGAGTTCTAACAGATAATCTAGTCAAACGATAAGTCTGAGGATATTTCATATTTTCTTGGAAATAACAAAAAAATGGCAAAACCCACAAAATATATAGATGCTGCTAACAACTATTGATTATGTGGCAATATTCTAATAACTTAGAGCTCCACGAATGTAGCTAAACTAGTTAAAAACATCTATGAAGCACATTGTTGCTGGGGGTTTGTTTGTTATAATGAACATGGGCAATGTAATTTGTTTTGTGTCCACCACTCACCCCTCTGCTTTTGTAGCTATTTTTAGAGAGTCAATTGTGTATTCACCTGCAGCTGAAAATAGGCCCCTTAATTTTAGTATGAGTAATGTTTTCTAAAGGTCAGTGCCCAACGGTTTAAGGAGATTATTTTTCAAAGAATTAAAAAATATAATTCGTGTTCTTATTCTGAATATATTTTTGTACAGGCCAGTGGGCACTGGTTAGGGATGTGAGCCCTAAACATTGTTGCCTTTTGTTTTGATTGGATTTGATTTGAAGAAAAAAATCCTTTATCCTTTAATCACTGAGAGCTCAGATCAGAAAAAAATCAGCTTAACTGATGAACCATCATCACTCTTGGTCATCACCTCTAAGAGCTAGAAATGTGGCATGACCTGATCTTTTGAACTGACTCCTAACTTCAGGTGTAATTGTGGCAGCATTTCCTGGGGGCAGCTGATCTCTCGCTGCGCCCACATTCCAAGTTCCTACATTCCCAATTAACTTATGAGACCAAGCTAAGAAAGAAATGAACTGAACGCCCCGCAGCTCCTGAAACTGCTTCAGACGGATCTTTTAGCTGTTAACCGGCATATTACACTCAAAAAGAATGTTGGATGAGGAAATGGAGCCAAAGGACAAAGTGAATGTCTTCTTCTGTGCTGTGGCTGTGCAGATACAGTAACAAAGCTGGTTATGTTTCAGTTGCAGAAGCGCTGGAGCTATTTTTGACACTACAGTATATGAGAGCTTCTCTGTGGAGATACTTCGATATGTGAGAGATGATGTGGGGTTTTTTGTTTTTTGTTTTTGGATAAGGATCAGAATGTTCTATAGAAGCAGATTTGTTAGGGCTTGAATAGAACTGTATATGCAGGGCACATCATTCATAGCGAGCAGGACCGGAGGCTGGTGTTTTAAATAACCGTGACAGACATGATATGATCACTGAGGAATAAATTGAATTATTGAATTACTGCTGATGGAAGACCCAGTATTAGAAGACTAAAACATAGCGAAAGCTCTATATCGCTCTTTCCATCCCATCTTTTTACTTTTTACTTTTTCATATTCCTTCATTTCTTTCCATATGTAGTGAAAACCAGCTGTAATTTATCACTGTGCTGTAGGTGAATTTAATTACCTGGGGAAGTCTTGATAATAAATGATTAAGTATGCAAGGGCATAGTCATTAGGGAAAGTTGGGAAGTCTGCAGATTTTTTTAAGTAGAAGTTTCTACAAAAGTCTGCAGTCTGCTCTTTTTCTTTGTGTTACAGTGGAATACATCTTTGGCGTGGAACACATAGATTGAAGGCGCTGATAGTGGATCCCATCCCATCCTCTATTTGAGACAGCAGAGTGAGCCCAAACTTTATTTGAATTCCCTGCATTTCCTATCTCGCCTGTACTGATAAACAGCAAGAAGAGAAAAAAAAAAAACCCCTTTGAAATACAGTGCAATCAAAAAATAGAGAAAAGTGTCAGGCTAAACTTGTGAATCTGAGAGTGTGATCTCAGGCTGATTACTGATTGGAATGAAGTGTTGTTGAAGGGGGGTGTAATCTCTTGAAAATGAGATCGTACTAGAGAATTGATGTGCAGATAATGATGTGAATAAGTGTGTTGACTGCAGTGCTTTGGATTGCATCTGTTGCTATCTTTAAAAATAGATAGCAACAGATGTATATTTAGAACATCAACGATTAAGAGATGCAGGAGGTAAGTATTTCCTCTTTTTTTTTTTGCACCAAGCTGCTTTCAAAAGCTGCTTAAAGTGACTGAATTAAAAGTGTAACCACATCAAGACAAGAGATGCTTTCACTTGCCCTTAAAAATAACAGACACACAACTTATATTCAATCAAATATTCAATAAATCATGTTAAGACACGATCTGTGCTGATTCTTTTGCATCACTATCTGTTGACTTATTTTCATGGAACATCATATTTTGGAATGTTTGTTTGCAGTAGCAGGATTTTAAGTCTCTGTCAGAAACACTGAAACGTCTGTTGTGTCACTGTGTCTTACTATACCACACAAGCTTAGAGCTATACAGAAATCTGTTCCAGACCTACAGACCTACAGTGCACCAGTCAACACTGGGGATTAAAGACAGCTCTTTAAAACCCCGTCGGATTATTTACCATGTCTCTGTATATTTCGACTCTGACTGCGGCATGCACGCTAGAGTTTTTTCTCTGTTCCTTTCCTCTAATTTATGCCATAAACAAAACACATTTCTGGGTCATAAATTTGCAGCCAACTCTCTGGAGCATCAGAGCTGAGCTTTGTTATGTGTGCTTCCTCTGGCCAGTGTAGAGCTGCTGCCTCTGTCTCCAGTCTCACATCACTAAAACACATCTGGACTCTGTCATATTTAATTTTGTTAAACACAAAGACACAGCATATAAGCAATTATAGCAATCTAACCCAACTGGGGTGAAGGTAAGGATAGAAAACCAAATGATAGATGATGCATTTGGTGTATTTAAATGTGGACTTCAACTCCACTATGTGCAGTTTTAAACCCATAGTATAGTAATTCACTCATGCATGGTATTTCTGCTTGTTTAACCACATGCAAATGAAAAGCCTGGATGACAAGTTGCAATTGTCATCAAACTCCCCAAACAACAGTGCAAATACATAAATCAAGGAAAGTCTCATGGTGCAGAATCTTTGTCTTTCTATAGAGGTAAGAAATCCTGAAAAATCTGGAGGTGTTTGCAGTATGATAACAGCTCTCCCCTTTCTCGTTACTCAATAATCACCACCAATGGAAATGCGGTTGGCCCGCCCCTGCCGGTCTATTGTGAATCTGCGTTCAACTGGGTACCACTCTTCCAGCCTTGGCACCAAAGTGGCGCACCACGACATGCACAGCTGAACGAGGAGTGCGCCTTTGAAGATGTTTGATTGCCAAGCTACAATTTCTGGTGAGAGACGCGCTGATTTACGATTTTATTTAATCTGCGGTTTTTATCAGGCGGGCTATTTTTCGCGCTTATGAAGCGGGTCTGATTCCCGGTGTCGAGGTAGAACGAGGTTTGTGAAGTGGTTTAATTCTGCGACCGCCTCGTTTAGGTTGGTAGTATTTGTGAAAATCGAGTAAGTCGACATGAGTTTTTGATGTCAGGAAGGCGGTAGACTCAGAGCACTGGGCACTGGAGTCCGTTTACTTTCATTTATGATGCTGCTTTTTATACATATATAAATATTTCGATTGGTCTTCCTGATAGCACGCCTCCTCTTTCAAATGCACGACAGATAAAAATGTGTAAATAGAGCACCATTTCAAATGCGGATCGGCTCATGCCGCTTAACTTTTTTATGGTCGTGGTGTTGCCAATAGATACCGATTTCGCATAAGTTGTGAAGGCAAAGCAGGGAGAGCCGAAGGCATTGCTTGCTATAATTTTTTATTTACGACACAACTCTGAATTGTAGTTTCAGTTATGAAACCACGAGCTTCGTCAGGGCCGTGGAAGAAATATGGATGTTTGTCATCTGTCTGCACCTTGTGAGACCCCCTCCTCCTCCAATACCGTATTTGGCTTTGTGTTGGAGCGAGAAGCGTGCGTCGTGGTTCTGGGCATTTTCACGGCACCCTCAGCTCCACGGCAGCTCGTGTTTGCTTCACGGGATTTTTTACAACAGAAGGGAAACAGATGCGCCCTAATGTCAACAGCCGATTACTCACGCAACATTGCGCGAAAAATGCGCCCCCGCAGCTCAGACGGACTGAGCGTTAAGACCACCCTGGTCTCCGTTTTGCCACACGAGCTGGGGGGGTTTCTTTTTTTGGGGGGCGGGGGCGAACCGACGGGTTGGCAGCTTCCTGTTCAGCACCGCAGACAGAGACAAAATCCGACTTGTCCACACCCACTTTTGGTCCACGTTACCGCTGCCCTTCTCTCCCCAAACATAGAGAGAGTACCGCCTACGCCTTATCGGTTTTAGTGCAGGTTGAGTTGCTCTCGCCCAGGACGTATTTTGAGTGGTTATTGGATGTGATATACACTGAAAGTCGCTATAAACAGCAGCTGAGTACCTGTGTGATGTTTGCTGAAGCTCAGGTGCAGAGGTCCGTGCTCTACTTTCGTTGGAACAGCATGTAATAACTTGAATTATAAAGGGATTTCGAAGGCCATCGTGATTATTATTTTGTCCCACGACAGCTTTTGAAAACGTCTTATTAAATGGAAGGAGTGTCATGAATAAGTTATTCACGAACCCAAGGTCTAAGTCGTACACAGTCAGGCGTGATTTATAAAATTAAATATCTAGCTATAGACACAATCAGACAGGGGCTAGAATCTGTCTAATTAATCATTCTTATCCTCTGATTGTTATTCACCACATGTGGTTGGTGCGCATCAGCAGATGTCTGTAATCATGATAAGTGTTGGTGGCTTCGTTGCCCTTTGAACCAGAGCTTCTACGATCAGTCAGCAGTGGCTGGTCTGCGTTGCATAATCGTAAAAACCCCAAACAAATTTAAACATCCTACATGGCTGTGTTGCTGTGTAAACACATGGCTAATAGCTCATATTTGCCTTTGTGATGTGGTGTGTGTGTGGATGCAGTCATGTTGAAGCACAGCTGCACTGGTTGATGACGAAATGGATTTGGGTGGAAAGCAGGAAGGGATAGTGTTTTATGGGAGAGATTGGTGGAAGAAATGAGAGGCAGAGAAAGAGAAGGAGAGCAAGAAAAACAGAGTGAGGTGGAGAGAACATGCCTGCTGGCCTCCTGTCTGGACACATTACATTTTCATAGGCTGATATCGCACCGGCACAGCTGAATATAGATAACAAGCACTTCTTGTTCTACGCTATCAACTTGGGTTTTTGTCTGTCTTTTGCTTACGTCTTCAGATTTGTAGATCCAGCAGCAGCAGATGTATACTATCTTTTATTTAGACTCCTTCTGATGACTAATATTTGCCTCTGCCTTTAGTCGGATTAGTGCAAAGAAGCAGGCTAAATAAACCTGTTGCGTAATCTGAGATTCAGGGCTGGATTAAATCACTGGCAGACCATGAAAATTAGCCATGGCCCTCCTTTAGGTCCTCCTTGGACAGATTTTGTTGCTAATATCTTACTAGTATTCCACCTCTGATATTTTTTTACACCTTAAAGAAATTCTTGACGAGAATTTGATGAAAAATAAAAACATGTCTGTACAGCAGATACACAGCTTGAGCAAAAGTTTTGAAACAGGCAACTTCATTGTACCCAGTAGTAATGAAATCCCTCTGCCAGGTTCTCTAAAGCTCACCAAAGAATTAACTTCTCCCCATGCTTTACACCTTTCTTCTAAACTAACCTTCACATGTTAGCATTTTTATTTTTTTAGAGTGAAACTAGATAAATGCTAAGACTCTTATCGTTTGAGCTTACCGAGATCTGACTTGTAGTAGTATGCAGTATGCAGTAAACATCCTCTCTGCTCTCTCCTCAGGCTTATCTTCTCTCTCTTTTGTATTGTGTTCTCACAGACTGAGTGACAAGCCTGTGGTGTAGTCGCCACCATGATAGCCACGGGTGGCCTGCTGCGCATGAACAGGCGCCAGGATTCGCTCCGATCGAAAAACCGAGCGGAGAACAAACGGAAGAGGAAATCCAAGAAAAAGAAGAAAAACGATGTGGTGGTGGTGAAGGGCAAACTCAATCTCTGCTCCCCTGCTGGTTTGGTGGCCGCTGTTGGAATTATAGTTCTTATGGTTGGGATTTCCATGGCTGTACTGGGCTACTGGCCCAGCCAGAACCAGCAGGAATACCAGGAGCGCCGCAGAACCGGGGGATTTCACACCAGCAGGATGAGCTATTCCAAAAGTCCTCAGATTACCTCCAACCTGACCCGTGGTGAGCCTTCCTCTGGCCAATCAAATCTGTTCAACCAGAGTCATTCTAACACCAGTGTTTCCAGCCCGTCCCGTCACTGTGGCTTTTTCTGTGACTTCCTGGATAACTATTTGTATTCAGACAACCTGAAAGTCTTCGGACCACTTGTGATGGGAATTGGTATCTTTCTCTTCATTTGTGCTAACGCCGTCCTCCATGAAAACCGAGACAAGAAAACTAAAATCATAAACCTGAGGGATATCTACTCCACAGTGATAGATCTGCACAGCATACGATCAAAGGAGTACTCACCTCTGAACGGCATGGTGAATTACACCCAGTCAAAGAGTGCAGAAGGGCCGTCGGGTACATTCCCAACAAGTGGGATGCTTACTCGCAGTTCCTGGCCCTCCACTGGAATCACTTTCAAAGGTGAGGTAGATGGCGAGGAGGTATTCAGACGCTCCTCATTGGTCAGCAGGCCTCGTAGCTTGTCCAAAGATGTGCAGAGCTTCACAGAGACTGTCTATAGCATCTATAAAGACTACAGCAATAGCAGTGAGCAGGCACCTCAGCCCCGACAATGGGAGACCACCTCCATCGTCACCTCTTCTGTGAACGCTTTTACCCTGCCAGTAATCAAACTGAACAACTGTGAGGTGGGGGAGAAAGCAGAGGCAGAGGGATGCTCAAAGGAGGAGGTTGTTATAGAAGCTGCTGCTGAAAACATAAGTGAGGAGGGACAGGCCAGCAGCAGCAGCCAGAGAGACGTGATGTACGGTAAGCAGAAGGAGGCTTCGATCATGGACTCTCCTCCTCCTCACCGGAGCCACGAGGACACCGACACAGGTATCCAAGAGGGGGTGCCGCAGGCTCAGCGTCAACCGCAGAGGCCTCAGCTGTTTCCGCCATCTCCTGTTGCCAGGGCAATGGGTTCACGGCTGTCGCTCAACTCTCTCACGGATCAGCCCAGGCCAGCACGCCGCTGCAGCTTGTCTGTGTCTGGGTGCCGTCAAGGTGACAGAGCCAGGCGGTTCAGCTACCCCCGTCTGGAGCACTCCAACAGCAAGGGCTACATAAAACTGAATGACCTGGGGGGTGAATCCTTCGAAGCCCCCGACGCAGACACTTCTTTGGTGGCCCCTAAACAGGAAGTAGCAATGGACGCAGCAGCGGCGGAGGAAGAAGCTCAGGGACAGGACAATTTGGCGACACCGAGCACCTCTGGAGAATCCTAGGCCTCTTAAAACTCTTTGATGTCTTGTTATTTGCTTCGCACCCTCTTATGTGATTGCTAATGGGTGAAGCTGGCCATTAGAGAGGAAAGGAAACACGGAGAGTAAGCAACTAAGGACTATTGAAACATAGCCATGAATACTCAAGAGCAAGACTCTTTATAAATACACCAGACCAACAGTTCAAAATTCAGATGTAATTTTTCTATTTTTTCAATGTAGCAAGAGCAATACTAAAGACTTGTAAGGAGATTTAGAAATGGTTTGTAAAAAAAAAAAGAAAAGAAAAGAAAATTTGATCAGATGAGGGTTTTTTTTTCTTTTGTATAAGAGTAAGGCAAACATTGTAGCTTGTAGAATTGCCAAAACTTTCACTCTGAACTACTGTCCAACATGTCGTACTGTAGCATTAACATATGCCACAGATATTTAAATAGTCTAGATTTGCTTCTCTGCATTGTTATGTGAATACCATGTGAATAGGTGAACTGAACTGAATCTCAGGTAGATGTCTGGCTTAGGATCGGGACCTTGAGGACAAGGTCTTCCCTATGTGCACACACTTGTTTATATGAAACATTCATGGTTTAATAAATTTGACTGTAACACCTCCATTGGGTCTAATAGATGTCTTTGTGTGATATTAGATTAAATGCCACGAATGCAAAATGGCTTGTTTGCTCCAAATAGTTTCACTTGCGTTAAGAAAAATTAAAAGGATTAAAAAACTGGAAGTCGGACTATGATTGATTGTGTGGCAAACGTAGAGACTGTATGGATTTTTTTTTCCTGGACTTTAGCCATACTTCTCATTACTGGGAAACACTGCAGTGGTATTGATGTTTTATTATTTCTGCCAGCTGAACCGAGACCAGTGACCTATAAGTGACCTTTACAACAGTCTTCTTAATAATTGTCTTCACTATTACAAAGGGAAGTTAACAGCTGAGTATCTGCTCAAATGGGTGACAAAATAAACAGGGAAAAATAAAATGGGCGTTTATTGATAATAGTGACTGTCATAACTGTCAGTGCCCAATAACTCACCTGGTTGAGCAGGTGACCCGGAGGTCAAAGGCTGCTGTATAGGGGTCTGAGCACAAGTCTAGATCAGATAGTTTCCTGTGTGTCATTTCCGCACGATCTCTTCTACTGTATTGTCAAATAAGGCCTCAAAATGCTAAAAAAAAAATCCCTTGAAAATCATGTTCAGCTGAGATCTGGCAGATAGATGCTAATCATTCAACAATCCCTTGACTTCATCATAATCTGCTACTGTACTATTGTACTTTTTAACCTCACTGCAGTTATAGATACACCTTTAAGTTGTGCACATAAAATACAATAGACTTACTCTATAGCCAGCCCTATATTTTTTTTTAATATAGTTACTTATATGAGATAAATGCATGCCTTGTACTGTTGTAAATGCATATTGCACCACTGCCACTTCACTGTGTATACAGTGCTGCGCATCATAGAGCCAGGCCCCTTTCTTTACATTTTGCTTCTAAAATGCTTTCTTGTATTTTTTTAAGAGATCTTGAGCAACAGTTTTCCGGGGCTTATGAAGGTCGTTCATAAAAGTGCCATCAGATTTTGAATCTACCATGCAATACCATCTGTCAAGTGTCCGATTAGCAACGGCTTTGTTTTTTGTTTTCTCAGCATAATGATGATCCAAACACACTGCCACTGCAGTAAAAGCATGAGTGAACACTATCAGTCATGCATTGGCCTCCCCAAAGCCCGGACCTTAACATTACTGATGCAGTGTGGGATCAAATGTCAACCAACAGTCCTTCAACAAGCCTGGAGAACAATTCCTTAAGTATACTTAAAGAAACAGACAGTTCAGAGTTCAGGCTGTGTTGAAGAGTAAAGGTAGCTATAGCAAAACGTTGACTTTCAAGCTCATTGGAAGTACACAGACTCTGTTTTTGCCTTATACACATTTCTATGTATGCTTGCATCCGTTTCAATAAATTCCTGTGACTATTTTTATTTTCTTTGTTAAATAAAAAGAAATAAGGGGTACTTCAAGACTGTTGCACAGCACTCATCTTCCAAGTCCTACATATTGTTAACAGTTCTTACAGGATCAGACAAAAAGTCCACTTCGAAGTTTGCAGACTATTCACGAGAGGAGCCAGCGCAGCTCAGCCTAACGTGGCCATCTAGTGGTCATGTGATGTTTGAAAAAAACAGAAGAAGAAGAAGAAGTACAAAAAATAAAGCGACCAGCAGGTGGCACTGGGTCTATGCTGGTTGAGTCGTGGGCGTGCCCGTTTATGAGCACCACGGGGCCGATTTCTTTTTAGAGGCAGGAGGGGGCGGGGTCAGCTCGCTCCGTCTCTGGGAAGGTTTGCCAAATCTGGCGCTCACAGGTGTGTGATCCCTTTCACCCGGACGAGACCCACGCAGGGGATTCCTGGTCTTCGTAGCGCTCCCTGACCAACAGCTGGCGTTTGGGGAGTTTGTGTCCCCTCGCTGAACACTCAGGTAAAGTGCTCGCTTGTGTTTACACTGTTGTTTAGTTTGTGTGTCGAAAAACAGGCTGTCACTATATGAGCACGAGCAAACTTAAGTCGGGTTTTTTTTGTAATTAATGCAGCATTAGGATGTTATATGTGGTTGTTAATATTTCTAAAGGGCTATTCTCGTCGTCTGACATATCTTAGTAATGTTCTGTTTCATTTTTCATGTCTTTTTTCCGTTGCAATCACCGGGCTTTCCACCACAACTTGACCTGCTGCTTTCCCGGCGATCTGTTACATTTCAAACGGTGAGTACAAGTGTTTATGGGCAACAATGTGAAACACACAGAGAGACAAGCACAAGGAATAATTTGGAGTTAGAACAAAATACGTTTCAAGCGGCAGCCACTTCACACATTATACTGCAGAGTAAAGGGCCAAACAGACGCGATCAGTACTTTACCTCGCTTTATTTTGAAAATCTAACGTGACGGAGCATTGAGAAACTTCGTGTAACAGCTGTTTAAAAGTGAAAACAAGTCAGATCCATTTCTTCCCGATACAAATACAAAGCCCTCGATAAATCTAAGTTCTGTGTCACACTTTTGACTCAAGTCTTTTACAATTTGCTGAATGCGTCTATAATCTCCTCATCAGCATTTTTCTCGGGCTATTTCTTAACTCGTTTCTTCTCATAACTGCTGAGGAAGCACTTCTTGTTTTCTTTGACACGCACACACACAGACACACACAGACACCTGATTAAATGTTTGCTGGGCACAGACAGGCTATTCGGAAAGGGGAAGTTGTCACAGCATGTGTTTCCTCTCCTTGAAATAGAGAAGACGTTTCTGTTATAATATTCTCTTTCATCTACACTGAACTGAACATTCATCTCATGGCATTGTTAATAGGGAGGTCCATATGGCTGCAATGAAATTTTATTTGATATTTAATCTTTTAGATATGTATGTATCTTAATATGGGACAGTGCGTTTTATAGTGCCATCTGACCATTTGCGCTTGAGTAATTTCAGCAGTTTTATAAGGTCGAATGATGAGTTTGAATGTACAGGACTGAGGAGATAACACCGGCCAAAGTCCGTGGGACTTGTCTTGTTCACTTGCTTGTGTGTGCAGTCTTTGATGTTTCTGCGGATGATTGGTAGCATTTTGCTGAGGCTTAACATTTCTTGTACCCCATGAGCTGGCTTGGACTGGCCAAAATGTTCTCACTCTGTCATACCAGAGGAAGTAGTGTTATTTAATTTTGTGTCTTTCACTGATATGTTAGCGTTGTCGTTAAGGACAACTTGGACCACAAAGAATGGTTGGGTTGTTTTTTTGTTTTTTTTGGGGGTTTTTTTTTTTGATTGTTTTTTTTAAACCCTTCTAACTAAAAACACATTTTAGCAGATTTTTTTTTAAACCCATTAACTCCTATGAAATCGTTTCTTTTATTATCATTATTATTATTATTATTATTTTACTTCAGTAGTATATATTTTGTTATTTTGGTTGCTTGGGGTCAAGTTAACATATTGTTTGTTTTTGTTTTGTTTTTTCAACTTGTTAGCTAACAGTTGTTTTACATACCCAGTCGTCACAGTGGATCATTTACACTGGTGTTACATTTTCTGTGTACACAAATATGCGAGCTTCTGAGTAACATAAAATTTGCCTTCAGCCAACCAGCAAGTTTGTCGTGACTGCGTGGAGATGTTTGTTTTCTTGTTATGCATGGCCAAAGAATTGGAGAGTATAAGGTCTGTTTGACTTCTTTCAGCACTGTTTTGGTCTCTACCAACTGCTGGATGAAATGGCTGTCTCTATATCCAGCTGCAGATGGTGCCCAAGCAAAGCTACTTTAGCGCTAACATTCCTGTCAGGATAGGTAAACAGTTTGCATTCTGCAAAGGCAAATAAAGCCTCAGCGAGCTTTGGGTGATAAAACTCTTTCAATCATTTGCTAAAAGCATCCCTCTCACTGCTGCATTGTTTTTATTTCATACATTGCTATGATGATAATAATACAGCCAGTTTAAATATTCAAAGCAGGTAAAATAAGTATTATTTATGAAAAGTTTAATCCACAAAATTTTTGCTAATTTGCTTCTTCACCGGGAATTTGTAAGTTTGTGTTGACCACTACTTTGAGAAGATCACCATATAGAAAAATCCAGACATGTGCACCTTTTGAAATGGCTGATCTTTTCTAACTTTGGCAAAAAATGTGCAAAAGCTAATAAAACTATTAGGAGAGGAAAGTTTTCCTGGACCTGTTTAAAGGATGAATTCCACTTAAGGAAAGGCATTAACTCCAAACAAGAGTTTTCCAGCATGCTCTTCCTCCAGCTCTTTCTGGAAAAGGTACACCGTAAATTGAAAATGGCAAGCTGCACTTACAGATTAGCCAATAAAACATTGTCTTAGCTGCTGTGATTTATGTGACACAGCTGGAACATGGAAAAGGCTATTTAAATGTGTTGGGTGTCTATAAGTTGTATTAAATTTGATTTTTTTTACTTTGTTAGCTGCCTCTACACTATATACAGGCAAAACCAGATAAAATCTCTTCATCGTGGTTTAAAAAGAGTCATTCACGTCATACATCTAAGGCTTTAAGAGCTACACAAAGACAGATTTCTTACTGTTGTTTTGATGTAATGTTGTAGCTGATGAATCCTATCTCTGCCTATTCATCTTAGGAATTTACATCAATGCTGCTGTCAGTTTAGTACATGATCAATAGCACTAGGTTTGGACTGCAGGAGAATACATTATTTTACCTGCTGCTCTTTGTTGCTGTGACTCATTGTGCTGCTGTATGAAAACCAGTGGAAGGGCTAGGTGTGTGACTCAGAAGTAAGAGGTTAAAGGTTAAAAGGAACAGCCAGCAAACCCTTGTTGTTATAACGATTCATAGATAAGTAAGGCAAAGGTTGGAGTATTGTCTGTGCACTTTAAATGGAATGAAATGGTTATTACATTAAAGCCACAACTTTCCCATGGTGCACATGCTGGATTTTAAAAGCTCATATTACATTATCTTTGTGGAAAGCAATATATGCTTTTGAATACTGTTATACCAAAGTGAGTGTTTCAAATCAATCTATTTTTGCAGTTCTAGTGAAACT